TAAGCCCAGTAAGGCACACCTATAGGCGTGCGTGTGTGTGTGTGTGTGTGTTTTAATGGGAATGCCTTTGAGAAGGAGGAGTTTACGTGGGCGGGGAGAAGGCGTGGGCGTACGTTTTTATCTTGCTCACTCGACGCAGAACACAACAGGACGTCAGATGGCAACAGCTGTGACAAAGACATCTGAGCTGAGTAAACTACGACCACCTGAGCTGTTTTAGTCGATGACAACACTCGCGCTCCCAATCTCACCTTTTGTCTCTTTGTGTATGTGTCTTGGTCTCTCTGTGTTGTGTGTCTCTTTGTCAGTGATTCTGTCTCTATGTTTTCTAAGTTTCTAGTTACATATGTCTCCTGTGTTTATTGTCATACGTTTGTTGTAAAGTGTCCTTCGTCCCCGTCGCTGTTCTTCTATTAATATATATATACTATATACCTGTGTCCATTTGTGTAGTTCTTCCAGTTTTTTCTTTCATATGTCTGTCTAGCTCACATTTTCCCTCTATTGTTTGCTTTCTTTATTATCCTCTTCGTTTGCCTTTACTTTATCCCTCTCTCTCTCCTTCTATCTCTCATCACAACTCTATTGGTCTAACGATACTCCTGAAGACTTTTTAGCACATCCGCCAGAATCTCTCGTCTTGTCAGTTCTAATCTTTTACTCTAAGCTGCAGTTCAGTCTTAAACTCTCTCATCTCTCCACACACTCTACCTCTTCTATTTCTGGAATCACCCTGACCACTGCTTTCCGCCATCGTTTCTCTTCCAACTGTCAGAATCTTACGAGTTTGACATCTCTAGTAATTCCGGTCGAGTTCATTAGTTTATTTTTACTTCAGAAGGCGTTTTATAAAATATAGTTCCTGCCCACGCTTGATATACCACACTCGTTATAAAATGTCCTCTTGAAACAGAATCGTCATGCAGGTGTTTTTTCGCATCTGTAGAGTTTGGTGTCATGCTGGACACCTGGAAAGACATTAATTAACACTCTGTACCTGAAATTTCTTGATGCTTCTTCTTTACGGCCGTGGACGGGCTGAAGGACGCTGGACGGACACCTTAAATGCCTGGGCTAGTGCAGTTGTATAAGATGAACACAGGGACGCGGGATAGGACTTTAGAAATCTCTATCTAGTATGGTGGTGTAGGATGGACTCTAAGAATGACACTAATTCGTAAACCTACACAGAGATTGAAAACAGGAAGTCTGGCTAGAACACCTAAAAGGACGTTGAGTAGACGAAGAGACGCTGGTTAGGACACCTAAAAGACTGGTGGCCAGTGTAGTGGTGCAGGAGGAACCCCCTCCACACAGCCACATCATGTCCACCTCTCTCGTGTGATTGGCTTCCTTGGTGGGGGGTCGAGTTGAAAAATTAAGACATACTTTGTAAATAATATTCCTTTTCCCAGCCAGGGTACATGATTACGTATATAGTTACACACACACTACTACTACTCTACTTTGCTGTCACTCGGAATCGAGTATGACGATCATCCAGCTATGATATAATGTTATGTTTTATTAAGGATGTTACCTTCGATGGTGAGTTCTGAGGTGACTAGAGAGGCCGATACGAGACCGGCAGGGTCGTCCACAGATGTTACACGTGTGGAGAATTACATATAGTGCAGGGGGGGGGGTGTTACGGTATGAAGTAATCGTCTCCCAAGTGAGGAGGTCGATTTGGTACTTTTCAGGTTTGTCTTAAGACTAACCTTATACCTTTTCAGTTGCCAGCCAGCGTTACGTTAATTATTCATTAGATGACTGTAAAGTAGCTGCTTTGGCAGTCTACTGTCGTCCATGCGGGTAACATGGCCTAGTCTGGGCCCACGAGGTACCCATTTACTGCGTGTTGCCACGAGGAGGCACAGCAGGAGTCTTGATGTTGTAGAGGCTGCGTACTGGCAGGGGAGGACTTATGCAATTTGCTTCCACGTTCGCCACGAGGGCTAGCCAACGGCGGTAGCTGATAGCGATAGGAAGCAAGCAATGCTTGCACCTTAACACTTACATAATGCTGCCACACTAGACTCATTACACCACCTTATATAATATATATATATATATATATATATATATATATATATATATATATATATATATATATATATATATATATATATATATATATATATATACTTGATTACGTTGAATTACATTCATACACATATACAATGGGTTCAGTTCACTCATCCACTAAACACTGTGGCTAACTTCCACCGTGAGACACAGAACCCTTCCACCGTTAAGTGAGAGGCGGACACGTTAACAACTGAAAAGGGCACCTAATACGTTTTGTGGTTTCCAGTGGTAGCGCCTCCGCCTCTCTCACACATTTGATGAACGGTTCGTATCTCAGTTAGGGGTAGTTTAAAATACGAACATACACATACTGGTATATACATACGCCAGATAATGCATATTTAATGAGCGGGAAAGAGAAATACGCATGAGTGAATTAATGATCTTCATATAATGATTTAAGAGATACTACATTTCGGCCCAGTACTCTATCATTATTCCAGGAACTTAAAAATTTATTGAATAATAAACTCGGGTCCTCTGGCGGGCCTTGTTATAACTAAGGAGACTGGATTAAAAAAAAGAAAAAGAATTCAGCCTTTTCCGGGAGAATCAGCCCAATGGTTAAGTACAATAAAGCGAATTGTAGATAAATTTGTGCTTCAAGTTGCCATCCCTCACTCGCCACCACAGTCGAAAGTCTCTAAACCAAGATACCGTCTGTCTTAACAAGACTAAGGTTATTTATTTTTTACCTTTTCAAACCCTTCTTAACTTAAAAGTGGACTTGTTCTCTATAACCATTACCCGAACCAAAGGTTATTTATTTATTTTTTAATTTTCCTTCTTGACTTGGTGATGAAAGATCCACAACTAGCTTGGGTAAGCCTTTTAAGTGTCGTCTGTTATGGAATTTGTGGCCTAGGTAAATTTTTTTTATACCGTCTGATTGTTTACTTTGTCTGGTGACAGCTGTTGGATATTTTTGTCTGGTCTTAAGTTTGAGACAATACCCTTACTTATGAACATAAGTACTTTATTTTCATCACTGATAAAAGGTAACATCTGGTTACCGTGCCCTCTTCTGTTGAGTGTGCGTGTGTATGTGTGTTGTTTCTTTATTGTTGTTAGGAATATTGTGAGAAGGAGGGTGGAGAGAGGAAAAAGGCTTTTAATTGGATTTACTACTGCAGCCTCACCAGTGCCACGCCCACTCACCAGTACCATCCCCAGTACCACGCCCCCAGTATCACGCCCACTCACTAGTACTTTCCCCAGTAACACGCCCACTCACCAGTACTTTCCCCAGTACCACGCCCACTCACCATTAACATTCCAAGTATCACACACTCACCAGTACTTTCCCCAGTATCACGCCCACTCACTAGTACTTTCCCCAGTAACACGCCCACTCACCAGTACTTTCCCCAGTACCACGCCCACTCACCATTAACATTCCAAGTATCACGCCCATTCACCAGTACTATCTCCAGTACCACAACCACTCAACAAGTACCAACACCCCAGTACCAAGCCCACTCCCCAGTAATATCCCCAGTACCACACCAACTCACCAAGTGCTATCACCCCAATACCACGCCCACTCACCATTACCATCACCAGTACCACGCCCACTCATCATTAACATCTCCAGTACCACACCGACTTACCACGTACCAACACCCCAGTACCACACCCACTCACCAAGTACCACACCCCAGTACCAAGCTGTACAGGTGCTCGGGGAGGATAAGCATGTCACTTTATATGACGAATGAGCCAATAAATTTATACAAAGTGTCAGTAGGGTAATATAGACACCCCTCACCCCCCTTCCCCACAACCCCTCACCCTTCCCCCACAACCCTCACCCTCCCCACAACCCTCACCCCCCCATATCCCTCACCCTTCCCCACAACCCTCACCCTCCCCACAACCCTCACCTCCCCCCACAACCCAACACCCTCCATCCCAACCCCACCAAGCCCTCCTACCCCTTAAACCTTCTGGGAAGGTGAGAGAGAGAGAGAGAGAGAGAGAGAGAGAGAGAGAGAGAGAGTTAAGTGGTATGGTATTGGTATGGGTAAGTGGTAGGGTATTGGTATGGGTAAGTGGTATGATATTGGTATGGGTAAGTGGTAGGGTATTGGTATGGGTAAGTGATAGGGTATTGCAATGGTTAAGTGGTAGAGTATTGGTATGGGTAAGTGGTAGAGTATTGGTATGGGTAAGTGGTAGGGTATTGTTATGGGCAAGTGGTAGGGTATTATAATGGTTAAGTGGTAGGGTATTGGTTTAGTTAACCATACCAATACAGTATCTTACCAATGCCCTTCCACTTAGCCATACCAATACCCTACCACTTAAGTACTGCAGCTTGAATTATCAACCACAATTGAGATGAAACTACACCGAGAATAGCTATCACTAATTGCTACAGGGAGTCTCCACAGAAAACGAAGGAGGGGAGACTATATTGTATTTAGAAACCCCACCCCTCTTATTGCCGATGAAAATACACAGGTGGTGTAATTAGATTTCAGATGATAGCTGATGTAATCTTGTTTTGCTCATTATAAAGATGATATCATAAACTTCATTGAAATTACTGATAATATATTGTATTATTATTATTATTATTATTATTATTATTATTATTATTATTATTATTATTATTATTATTATTATTATTATTATTATTATTATTATTATTATTATTATTATCATCTGTGCCCATGCCCATATTTTCAAACATTTCTGAATCTCTCATTCTCCTCTCTCTTTCATTTACTTTTCCCCTCTCCCCATCACTTATCTTTCTCAATTTCACTATCCTTTCTTTCTACTCATTTTATACACTCCCCCCTTCTCTTTCTTTTAATATCTCACTTCCTCTCATCCTCTCCCCTTCAGCCACTCCTCCGTCTGCTCTCCCCGCTGTCCACTCATCGTTATGTCTCCCTCCACAGATCGCCGACTGGAAGTTCCCGTACAAGAGGTCCCACCACCCAGTGTGTATGCACGAGGAGACGCAGCTCACTGTGGTCAGTATCTGCACGCCTTCTCCTTCACACACATGCATACAGTATAGGTACTCTTACACACATACTGTACATACATAGTTACATACATACATTACATGCACAAAACATATATATGCATACGTGATTATAAACACGCTGATACTTCTATATACAGGGTGTCCAATGACACCTAATGCTAGGAACATGGGTCCGATTGTCAACGGTTACGGAACTATGGGGATTTGAAGTTAAGAGAGATTTACACGTAGTTAAAATGTTTATTTGACTAAGTGCTACAAATGTATAGTTTCGTCTAAAATAAATGTTAAAAAAAGCAGCCTTCAGCTTGTGGTAACATTGAATGAGTAACCCTACCAAGAAAGCCAGGGTCGTTCTGTATGTGTTTTGCATCGTCCATATTTCGACGAAGCATACACTGTATACATACCTCACAACACACACACACAAGGAGTAAGCATGATCCTTATTTAAGACTAACGCCCGTATTATTAAACAACATCTTCTCTTGAAGAGGGTCGTGTGTTTCAACCCGAGTTTTAAACTAAATGAGTCCTGAGGGACACCGCAATACAGTACTTAACGTGGTGGTGTGGCGGTAAAATTAACTAATTCCAATATTATAAATTAATTTTATTGGAATTAGTTAATTTTACCGCCGCACCACCCAGTTAAGTACAGTGCTGCGGTGTCCCTCAGGACTCATTTAGTTTAAAACTCGGATTGAAACACGACGACCCTCTTCAAGAGAAGATGTTGTTTAATAATACGGGCGTGAGTCCTTTTATTTCAGGGAGCGGACACATAGCCAGGTGTATGGTGAATATGGTCACATCGCCATTGCCTTAAACTTACTCTAGCCTCAAGATATGGCTGGGACAACATGAACACCCTAACATATTCGGGAATCACTCACACTACTGTAATTCTAGCTATTTGTATGTTAAATCTTTTTCTTATTATTTTTTTTCTCAATCGAATGAACTCCGTTTTTAATGGATAAAATTCAAACTGTTACATATATAAACGTCACCATTTGTCATACTGTGTCATGATTACCGATCATACCTGTCAATTCGTCTCTTCGTCTCTCATATATATATTCAAAGTCTAACTATACCAAGTCAACCCACTTCGAGTCGAAAATTCGTCATTCACCATGCATAACGTCATCTGGCTGACAGCCCGGGGGTTGGTCCGGGGTGGGACCTCAGTTACCAGCTGTCCGTTGTGGTGCGAAGGTCTATGACAATGACTGATAAATGCTCCGTATTTGGTTGCTTATCAAATTACAGACTACATGATAAAAGTTTGAGATTTCATCTATTTCCAAAGGATTAAAAACAGAAAAAAGTGGATTTTATTGTGCATGCAGCAAATATATAGGGTGCAACAGGAGGAAGGACAATATTTGAGAGCCGTTGTCCATATTGATAAATTGAAAACCTCTACGCATATATACTTGTAATCACTGATTTACTGTAATAGCATGAGAAAAAATTATGATAATTATAATCATTAAAAATTTATATTATTTTCTTTAACTATTGTATTTCATCCTTGTATTCCTCATGTTCCCCCATTAAATAGCCAGCCCATATGCTTATGATTGTTTAATCGCTTTTACACTGACATTGACAGCAAAATCATAAGAGTATAAATAATAAAGAGAGGAAAAAGAGGATTGTTAAAAATAATAGTAATAATAATAATAATAATAATAATAATAATTTTTTAATAATAAGAATAGGAATACCATAAAAATAATGATAACATGAGGAGTTTAAGTGGCTAACCGATAATGTGCTCGGGGAAAATCAGGATAAATGGCAAGAATATCTTTTAATACAGTGGGGTAGCGGGTGGTCTCACCGGGGATCCACTACACGCCAACGGCGTCACATAATAAGCTCCGCCCATGTGCGTGGGTAGACTTGGTTTATTTAGACTTGTATATCATCACATTACATATACCTGCCATTACGTTTCATGACTTTCAATGTCTCTGGTCTGACCTGGGCCTCAACTAACCTCACCTCACTCCGTCTAATTTCAGGTGACGCTCGGAAACTGTGAAGACAACGCTGCACCCGGGACGGAGACCTACTCTTACCACGAAGCGACTCGCTGTGCCTGCTCCGTCTGCAAGACATCGGAGGCGTCGTGCGAGGGTCTGCGTTACCGAGGTGCCCGCAGAGCTCCGCGCGCCGAGGTGCCCCGGGGTTGAGTACGCCTCATGGGAGACAAAATCCGGGATATCAAGACCCTAGCCTCTATCGCTGCCGGATATTCTCTGTCTGGAACTGATGTCCAAGAGGATTCACCTTTTAAAGATCTGTCAAGGATAAAGAAAGATTTATTTTTGAAATAAAGAATAAACCTCTCACTGTACCTGAAACGAAACTCATAAGAAAAATTTCGACGAGGAAAGAAAATAATGTTGTAGCGGTTAGGGTCTAGATATCCAAGCTGGCCATCTTCCCATACACCCACTCCCGACACATCTCTAAAGACGACTACTTCTAGATATCTAAGACTCAGTTGTTTACTTAACACCTATGTTAAACGGCATAACGTTAATAACTGCAGCTAACAGGCATTTTAATATGACAAACAAGTTACATAGCTCCCGGAAGTTCAGCATCTATGTTAATCTTATCCTCACTTCAAGGCCTCATATAAACAAAGCCCTGTAGTGAGCATACGATACGAAGGCTTAAAGGACGCATAATCAACCCGCAATGAGACTTGCATATCAGTGTTCAAGTTGGTTACATAAGTTTTTTAAATTCAGTTTTGGCAATAAAATGTGGTCAGGAATGATCATGATACTGTGTAAAGCTGTTGTGGTGGACTACACTAAGGGATGATCCTGTTGAGAGGGTGGAACATTTTTATTTGTTTTTTCATACCCGGAGGCAATAGAGGCTGAGTCATATGCATGGAGGTGTATTATTTGACATTCAAATTTTGCATCTTATTCGTTAGGACATTATTTAGGCACATCGACCCCTGGTTGTGCATATGCATATTTTTGTTTGAATAAAAAAAATACGTGATTTATACATGATCAGTGACACCAGTTTGACTGCTCTTAAGATGGTAAAAAATGTGGTGAAAGACACGACCAGGCGTTGAAAACTATATGCAGTCAGTAACAAAACAAACTTGCTTTGTTTCTGGACAATAACAAGACTTTTATTTTATTTCATAATTCTATAATTAATGTAACTTTGTGTGATACTGTTTGTCTATTGTAACCTTGAGTATTAATTAACCTTAATTTAAGAACAAATGTCAATTATAAGGAAGATATGATTAAGGATGTTTTTTGTTATTATTTTCTTGTCATTCCAATGTTCCTGAGATCTGGTACTATATATGTTGTATTTTAGACTGGTAAAAATTATGTCATTACACAGTAGATCCTTTTGTTCCGTTCGTGATGACGTCATGTATTGTCCTCTGGGCGTGAGCCACTCCCATGCTTGCAGATCCGAGATTCAATAAATGTCTTCAAGGAAGTATTAGCTATTTTTGTAAATAAATCCGCAATAACCTTTCCTCTTTTCTTTTACACCCGTATTAACAGTGAGTGTAAAAATATCATGGATAATGAGATCGACTTGGTTAGCGTAACACAACAATATCTGCCGAGGATTTATTCACGTTCGGATAAAACTAAGCTTTCATAATTTTGTAGTTCATAGACTTTTTCTAGTTTATTTGCTCATATGACTGGCTTGGTTAAGAATTATTATATACTGTATGGGTATTTTCATTTAAATCAGTACATCCATAATTACTTTACCCCCCCCCCCCTAAAAATAAAAAATAAAATACAAATCTTACTAAACCTCTGTAATTACCAAAATGTTCACTTAATCTAAGCCTAAATAACCAAGCAAGGATGCCACATTGGTTATGTGAATGCAGTGATAGTGACAACGAACTACTTAAGAGAGACACACGCAGACATAGACGATAATAAGTTATCAAGGGAGGTTCTTGGCAGGACTGTGTGGTTAGACAACAACATCCCAGCAGTTGTCAGTACACGCTGAGTTTACATTTCAGAGACCTCATGAGATATTATGGGGCCGCAGAATACAGAACAAAAAAGAATCTGGGACGCTTATAATGTTCTTGGCAGATAAACTCCTGCACTTAAAAAAAAAAAATGTGACAACAATACACTTAAGTCAGCGCTTAGCCTTGTCTTCAACTTCCCCTTCCTGATTTTAAGCACATTTCCATTTTTTATATGGTATTCTCACCTGGATGAGTTCCACATCATACTGAATGAAGGGGGGAAACCATACATGGCAATACATCAGCAATAAAAATAATATATTAACATTCATGACTTTGAGGAGTGCTGGAAAGTGTGTTGTTGCACCAATGAAAAACTACTGCTTACTAAAATACACTCGTCGGTAACTAGTGAACAAACTGTCTATAACAATTAGAATTTAAAGAACCTATTACCTAAGTGTTATTGAATTAGTTTAGTGATGGGCGAAAGAACAACTGAAGGAAGTAAATTATTCCAGTGACGCGCAACTCGCTTGGATAAAATTTTCTACGGACATCATAATAGCATGTGCCTGAAATAACCTTCAGTAGATATCCTCGTGCACTATAGAAATAGGGCGGGTTATGAGCAAGTCTGAGGTTACAACAGGAGAAAGTCACGTCTTAGTCAGATCTGCTCATAAAAGTCTACCACGAGCAGAAAAAAAAATTGAGCGTAGATAATGGAGTTCCATAATCCATGTTAGTTTGACCCGTTTTTTGTTACGGCTACTCTTCACTCCGCGTTGCAATATGACTACACGTCGTTTCATTTGAGGTTTTTTTGTCCTAGTGTGAACATCTCGTCAACTCTTGCCTAACGAAATTGTTATTCCCAGATTCACTATGAATGTACAAGCGGTTTTGATCTTAATAACAATATGGCTTAGCGTCTTTTTTTTCACTTGCACAGAAACGTAAACTATCAACGAGGTTGTCATCGTTTGCCTGTGTGGTTGGTCGAGACTCAAGGCAGTATATGTTGCCAGGAAGGGCAGTACCAAGTTAAAAGTGGTGAAGGCTAGTGTTGGACACTGATTACTGTGTTTATTTTCCTCGTACACTGGACCTTACTGCCAAGAGGCACGAGACATGTCTGACCTCAGTAAGTAAACATTTCGACAGTTATCATTATTAATCATCACATTTTTGTATCCTATTATTTTCTTCCATCTCTGCATTTTTATCGTTCTAGGAATTGATCAGTAGTGTTTTAAGGTAATACCTGTTTAAATATTTCTTGGTATTCTTGTATTTAACACGCGCAAAATCCCCTAACTCAACAAATTATACTGTACTGTACTGTACTGTACTATGCATTACCCTGATACTTGTTTGCAGAATATTTTTGTTGGACCACTACAGACCAACGTGATATTTGAATGCTGAGAAGGAAGATTACTTGGAAATTATATAATAAAAGTTAAGTGAAGCACAAGTTTAGGAAGGCTAGGTTAGGTGTGCCTATTTCTGTACATAACTAAGTAAAATGCCTATGACATTTATTATATCGGCGCTGTGATCTACTGTGCTGATGAGTAGGGGGGGAACGAGACACCAGTATGATTCCTATTTCTTGAGATAAATTCGAATGGAAAATCCAAGCAAGGCAGTTTTGACGAACAGAAAAGTTTAAAAGAAAATATTATACCGAAATAACTTTGTGATAGGAATAAGTGAAAACGTTGTTCATAAAAAACACCGAAAGAGAAAATTTTACTTTGTTCTGCAGGGTCATGTTCTTATATCTGAAGGTCTAATCTGTGATAAGAGATAGACCCCAGACTATTGACTCGCGGCATAGATTCGAATCACTTCACCGGCACATCTATCTTAGCCGGAAGATATCATTACCTTACAATGGATTATATTGGAAGAAAATGTAACCTTTTTAAGCTTACCAAACGTTCGCATACCGAACCTATAACCTATACTTTACGTTCGCTTTCGAAATCATGGTTTCGTGAGTAAGGAAGTACATTACAGAGGTAAGATAATTTAGTTGTGTTGCTCAGGGTTGATACAGTGGGAGCCCAGACACGGGAAACAGTGCCAACTTGTCGTCATTAGATGGCCATAAGAGGTAATGTATCTGACTTTACAACAGGACAGTAAATCACAGAAGCAGTTAAGACTTACGGCGTGATTACTGCTTCTCTCTTGAAAAAAAGATAAAAAAATACACCTACCAAATTTCTTATTATCACTACACCTCGCTCACCCCCTCTTATTAAGCTTTCGTGGCTTTTCATTATTTTCATATGCATCTTATCCCTACTCCAGTGTTATTAGCTTTCATTAGGAGTTACTGTTAATACATGGGGTTGGGTATTTACTAGTTGCGATTACTTTTTTCTTTGCTAATGTTAAAAATAGAATTCCATGAAATTTGTTTCTTTTTCCGGAAAATTTAGATAAAAGACGCAATTGTTACGCTCTTTCTGCTTCGTGATATGACAGGTATTCCTAATATAAAACAACTATTATTATTTCGAAGATTTTTTAATTGAATATTAAAACAAAAGATAAAATTTCGAAGAAATTAAACTATTTTTCAATATGAATTCAGTCACTTTACTTTGTGTGTATAGTGAACTGGTTCGCCTACTGTAAACTGATGCAAAGGGTAATGAATCAGTGTACTTATGAATATATCTACTTGTTATCTTATTCTTTTCCTCTCTTTTTCTACACTTGTCCTCCATCGCTATAATTTTTTGGATCAGATGAGGATGAGCCCCTGCTTGTTAACCCTTAATATTAACCACCCTGACGCTAACTTGACTTTGTAAATTTAACTTGGCCTCCCAAGTAATTTTAGGGTGTTTAATCATCTGCACCTCCACGAAAGTGGAGGAGGAGAACTTTTGATCACAGTATTCTGGAGGCGTCACTGGTGGCTGTGGTGATGACCACTATGACCTCGCACTCCGCTCGTCCTGGTTTACGATACGTAATTATCACTTCAAAAGGGTCGTTGAGGGTAATTATCACTGCTTAACTGCCGCTCAACTTGTTACACGTTTGTCGGTGTTCTGAGGCCCCGAGCAACAGGTGCTGATCTGCCCCAGGTACTGTTGTTGCTTCAATGTATCCAGGTAGTTCAGCAGCCTCGTTAACTATGTCTCATTTTTTTTTCACTGGAAAATAGTTTGAAAAAATCTGAATTTCCTCCTGTAGTAATTATTATGCTACATTGCAGGAAGTAACTGTAATTATATTTGAACAAAGTAGACGTAATTTTACTCGTGAACGAAATGAAGCCCCAAATTAATGCCAATTTGTCGTAAACTTGAAGTGAAAATAAAAGTAATTTTAAAATGCAGTATATTGTAATTTTTCTGACATTTATATACAAGTAGAACCATTATATACTTTTTTATATAATTACAATAATTATACAAGGTTATGTGTGTAGAGGATCATTGTATCATTCCTTATTATTTGTTGATGGAGTCTTCATCACTATGTTAATTATAACGCACAGGGAGCAAGTCAGGAGGTGAAACATGAAAAAAGTCTGAAACAAGAGCCAACCAATCTAACCCAATCAACTACTTTAATATCATTAGGTTAATTTAGGTTGGGTTAATTTAGGTTAGGTTTGGTTAGGTTAGGTTAGGTTAGGTTAGGTTAGGTCAGGTTAGGTTAGGTTAGGTCATGCTAAGATAGGTTGATGTTTGTACTGTGCTTCATAACGAGTTTTCAAGCTTGTTAATTCGTTACTCCATCACCTGACATATACCTATACATTACAATAGACTTAATGGCGTAGATTCCTACAGTACATTGACGAATGATATTTCCCGCGGCATTATATCTGTTACTTACGGATTACACAAGTTATTCTTAAATTCAGACGTGAGGATTTATAAGTTGCCTCAGGGGGAAGTCATCTTTTATTTGGGTTCAGCCAAGGAGGTTGGGGTTCAGGTATTATGTGAAGCTCTTGCGTTCGTATTAAGGGTATTATGGTGTCTTAGTTAATGGGTTTAAGATCTTGCGAAGTGGGTGTTAACATCGTAATTGGTGCCCGAATTTAAGGATTAATATCTCGTAATTGATGTTAATTTTCAGGGCTTAATATCACGTAATCAAAGTTTTAAGACGTAGTAATCAAGAAATTAGGATCTCGTAAAGAAAAGACCAAGCTATCGTACTAAGTGAACTAAACTATCGTAAATATTAGATAACACAATAGAGAAATTAAAAATAGCAGAATTTAGAATATTTACCTTATTTATATATAAAAAAAAATATCCCTGAGTTGTCGTAATCAAGAGAGAGAGATTAAATTATTGTAAATGCGGGATTAAACTGTCGTAGAATAGAGGGTGAACTACACTAATGTAAAGATTAAACCCAGAATCAATAGAAAAATATATTACATATATTTTTGATAGTCTAAATTCAGGACATGCAGAAAAGAGAAATTAAATATAATGAAAATTAAACTGTGGGAAGACAGGTCAGTAGAAGGAAGCTT